TTTAACAAGCATAGACAATGAAATATTTGGTAGGAGGTTGCAAATGGGGACCAGATAACATTGTGTTTAGTGGCAAGCAGCATGGGATTCACTTAATAATAGCAGCTAGAACTTACTAGCCACGTCGCTAAGCAATGTGGTCACATGATATTACATCACATTGTTTAGCAAACAAAATTCTGGTTCCAATTACTGTTGTTAAGTGAGAATTATGGGAAAGGTGTGAGGACCACCTGCTCAATAAAGATGGTGAAATGCTAACAGGTGAAAAAAAAAGTAATTAAACTCTTTATTTGTCTCAATCTTCTCCAGTAAAACAATAGACTTCATTAGGCACCGTGGAAAGCAGAAGAAGCAAAAATGAAGTTAGAGACTGCCAGAAACACAGTCATGGAGTATCTATTTTCTGTAAATAGTTTAATACTCTAAGGACAAATGAGTTGCATATTATTAAAATCATTAAGATTCCCAAGAAATTCATAAAAAGAGCAAACTGTAAGCACCCTGAATACAACACAATAATTACCAATAGTATGAATTTGTCCTCAACAATCTTGCCAGATTAATCTTTCCTTGTATTTTAAATGAGGTAATTTTCTAACTAAATTTTGGGAGAGCTCTAGAGATAATAAATCTTCCTTTCAGCAAATCATTTGACAAAGTATCCCATGAGATTCTGGTTAATGTGTGCTAGTTATATAAGTCAATTAAATAAGATATATAGCTAGTTTAAAATTTTCATTGTTGGTGAGCTACTAATCCACACTATTATTTACTCCCATTAACACAGAATTGATAGCCAGTTTCTAGATTCAGAAGTTATTTTTTTATCCAAGATATGTTTCCTCAGCATTTACATTCAGGAAATCAATCAATCAATATAATAATTTATATTTCCCAAATAATTAATTGTAATTAAACATATCTCTTCCCTTAATCACCCACCTCTCTACAGACAGCAGCAATCTGCGCCTCATCCATACAAGTCTCTGTAACTACATCGGTAAGGGATCCACCGGCCAGATACTCCATTACAACAAAAAGTTCATCTCCAACCAGGTAACTGAGGACAGAAAATCAACATTAAATTTCAACCCAGTGAAACAATTGTTTGAAGTTAGATTGAGAAAAGAAGCTAAAGTAAATATACAATATAAATTCATTAGTACTGGAGCTATACATTGTGCAAGTCCTGCATTAGTTACCTATTGGCTTCTGAATACAGTTTCAAATACTAGTTTTAACCTAGACTAGACAGGGCATTTATCTATCCTGGGTTGGGGAAAAAGCAACAAAAAGTCAATTATCGCACAAAGGTGGAGAAAAGGATGCAAGATATAAACCCTGGATCTAATACACAGAATGGCCTGGATTACTGGAGTCAACAGCATCCTTGGGAATGGAGAGGTGGTAAAGAGAATGACAAAAACATGATTACACCCTCAAAATGCAAGTTCCACCCTTTCTGTTTGTGTATCATAACAACATATCCATGTATGAAAAGGGTAGATCTTGCAGTGCAGCACTGACAAAAGGAGCAAGAGCCTGAAAATGTCCACAGCTAGAATCTAACTATCATCTTCAAGTAGCTTGATTTTTTTTTAAATTAAGGCTTCTTTGCCTACACTAAAAACAAGTTATCTATGCAAGAAATGACCTTGACTGTTCTACTGTACAGTTCAAAGTTCATTTTGAGAAACCCAGATTGATCTAATGGTTAAGGCACCAGACTAGAAAGCAGGAGACTGTGAGTTTAAGTTTTATCTTAGGCATTTCACTCCAGCTGTTTGACTTGGAGCCAGTCACTCTCTATCAGCCCAATTCATCTCATTCGGTTGTTTTGTGGGGGAAATAGGAGGATGGTTTGTTGGATACATTTGCCGCCTTGACTTATTTGTAAAAATAATAAAGGCAGAATACAAATTACACAAATTAAATAAATAAATACATTTAAGTCAAAGATCAGTATAGAACAAAACAATCAACAAACTGAAACCAACAGGGAAAGTTAGATATAAAAGCTAAAGGATTGGAGCAGAATATTATTACCACTATTATCAGTATAAAATATGCCTGAAGAGCAGGGGTGTCAAGCTAAAGGCATACAGTCTGGATCCAGCCCATGGGTGCTTAGATCTGGCTGGCAGGGCTGCCGTGGAAACAGCAAACAACCGGCCCGCAGTGCCTCTGCCAGCGAAAACAGAGCTTGGGGGGACCTTGAGAGGGTTGCAGGAGGCCAGCACAGCCAAAACGGAGCTCAGGAGCCCATTTTCTCTGGCTCAGTACTCAAGCCACCACAGGCACCCCCGACATGAATGAGGATGAGCTGGCCACCCCCCCTGCCCCCCCCCAAGTTTGACACCCCTGGTCTAGAGCTAAGAAACAGAATGAAATTTGTTTAAAACTAAAATTATAAGACAGACATGTCTGTGTAATTTAGTGTTATTCAAGGATTAGCCAGATTGCACTATATTGAAGAATGTGGCAGTCAATCATCTTGGATCTTATCTTGTTGACACCATAAAGAGGTCAGCAATCTAGGGAGCTAGAAGTCCCTTTAATCCAAAGAAGAGTTTTTGTATACAGAAGGTTTCAGATAAGGGGAAATTTTAATATTTATGTAAAACTCTTACTATAGTAAAATATGACAATAAATACAATAGTACTTGTATCACAAAGACACAATCTAGCAGCATATGGACTATTTTTGTATCTACTTTCAAGAATGACTTTTCTACTGTTAGTTTCTGACATCCAGTGTGAGAGAAACAAGTATACATATTATACTATTATCTATCTATTTGTCAGTTAATTAGTCAGTCAGTCAATCAGTCACAATATATCTTGGATCTTTCTCTCACATCATAACAGATTTCTTAATATTTTCTAGTCATAAACGTGGAAGGTACCACATCACCTTTTGAAGATGACCTTGTCTGGTCTCAGATACTTTTACTACATCTTGGAAACTTCAATCCTCATAGTACCTTTTGTCAAGGCAGTTAAGTGCCCAGATCATTCAGCTGTTGCCTGATTATCAGTCACATATCTGTGTTAATCCTCTTGCAAATATAATTAATTAATTTTATTAAGTAACTCTTACACATAACAATTATTAAATAAAATAACAGAAATGAAGGCAAGTAAGAATCACCACAAAATCTGGATTCTTCCCTGTCCACTAATCATTACCACCCACAGCCCAGGAAGATTATAATTTAAAACATTATATTATTTTTTGCAATGGATTATATTCTTTGTAACCAACTTTAGAAAAAATTGTGATCCTAGAAGATAGGACACAAATAATTATACTGTATTAATGGTAGCAATAATAGTCTTTTGTAGAAAGTAAGTAATGATTACTGCATAAAAATCTTCATTATCAAAAATTGTTGTTGTTTACTATGGTGACTTGTTTTAAAATACAAGTATAATTGCAAAATAGTACTAACGACTCAAGTAAAATGTTTCTTATTTGGAATTATGAAGTTATATATTAATTTTTATGTATGTCTATAATTTAAGACATATAACATATTGGTATTTCAAGAATGCAAAAACAGACAAAATAAGACATGGCCAAAGCTTTAAATTTTGATCCTGGCTTAAACTTAACTTTCCATTAGCTACATGTTGTACTTAGTTACCTGTCTAGAAAATTGACTATGTTTGGGTTCTTCAACTCTTTCATTACCAAAATTTCATTGATAATCAACTCCTTTTTGGGTTGTTTCTGTAGATTTATTTGTTTTATAGCAACCTGAAAAGTAAAGAAAGAAATCAGAAGCTGATATTCAAATAGAGGCAATTTGTATACAATCTGTGGTTTCTGCATGTTTAAGCTAAATTAATGGAGAAAATCTAGACTAAGTTAAACACAATAACCATTTGGTTCCATCGTGAGGATAGACTGAATAAACTGAAAATTATACCCCTTATAGGCATATAAATACAACCAAAATAAATAATTAGTAATACAAAGAGGGATAAACTTCTCATTTTGAAGTCAATGATTGTAGCCCTGATTCTAGATAAACAAGTCAAACTACAATGAGATTACAATGTCAGAATAGAAAATAATTTTAATAGAACCCTGAGATTCTAGACCTACAGTAGTTACCAACTTTTTCTCATGAACTATGAACTGATCTAAATTGCTCTCATAATTATTAAGAATCAATAACTTTATGCGATATAATTTACTTCTAATTACTGTTGCTGAAACAGAACTGGAAAACCTCCCTTAGCTATTCTAAAAAAGCCAGAAATTTAGCAGTAAATCCCATTTCATCAAGTTTCATTGTATTTTATAAATTTTCACCGAGTTCCACAGTATATCCAAATGAATATCAGCTTTGAATCTGTTCTTACCTCCTGTCCTGTCGCAACATCTATTGCAATGAAAACGGTACCAGAAGCCCTAAGAAAACCAAATATGCAATTAGTTGTAATATTTCAGGTATTTAACATGCATGTGCATGAACAGGCAAAGCTTTGTATTTCCTGGAAGATATCACTGTATTTAAAGACAAATGAGGTGGGATTAAATCATAAACTAATTTACAATAAGATCAATAGTTACACCAAATAACATAGAAAAAACTAAAGCTTTCATTTTACGGAAAGAAAGAATAAAATCACCTGGACAAAATTTATAGCCTGCATATTTGGACTTAGAATAAACTCTCTATTCTTTTCCACAGGAGGGAGAAAAAGCTCATTCTGAAGTTAGACAGGAAAGAAATGATAAGCTGCTTGGAATTTCCTTTTTCATTACGTAAATTGTGTATAGTACAGCACATTAATAATTGTTTTATGGTTTATATTTTGTTGGATATCTGGTTTGATTTATATGCTGATTTTCACTCGTACCAACACATATGTATGTTAAGATAACATAATTTAATTAATTATGCATAGCGTATTTATGAATACTTACCCCTGTCCTATTTTTTCATATCTGGTATATTTTTTCTTGGGATCTCCTATACTAACAATTGTTCCTAAAAGGAAATTATAACATTATAAGTAAACTAAAAATAGTATCAGATCCAAAGCAGTGACACAAACAATATTGATTTGTGATTAAATTAGAAGTCAATATTTTCTCTTGTAATGGCTTGGATTCAAAATTTCTATGTTTAATGAAAACATTCCTGTTTCACATAAAGCACTATTTTTAAATTGTACCAATATATCTCTTTATCTCCAGAACACAAAGGTAGTTCAAAGGCAGGACAACCTCCTCTATTTATTAGCACTAATTCTGCTTTCTTCAATACAGTGGTTATTGAATTCATCCCTTATAATGTATGCAGACAACCAACAGGTCATCTGCAGTCTCACAATTTTTCAGCAAAGCATTAGAAAGCCATTCCTTATCTCTTTTAATGAACAACTGTATCCCAGGAAATAGATCACAATTTTTCCAATTTCACTCAGAAAAATTATCTTGAAAGGAGGGGTAGTCACTGGGAAATGAAGGGAAATAAAATTCCCCAGTACCGAGTAACTCTGATTATCAACATGCCATTTCTAACGATGAAGTTCTGAAATCAGTGTGTCAGGAAATGGATTATGGAAAAAAGCTCTTTTTCTCTATTATTTCAATATGCAAAAGCAAAGACCTAGGTGCATAAGCACTCCCTACTTTACATTGTTTAGCAAGCATTTTTGAATCCAGTGCAGCCCCCAAACCAAGCATTGACTGGACTTCGTTATTTTACAAATATCTTTTTAAGACGATATGCAACATTCAGAAAACAAGTTTTATCTACAATACAATTGACAATGAAGGGAAATGTATATGCTAAGGAAATAATTATTCTAACAAATGAAGTTTATTGTTGTCACTGTTTGATTTTCGAACAGGTGAGGATTATTTTCTTCAGGACCTTTCAATATTCATCAGATACAACATAATTAATACTATTTGCTAAAGCAACTTTCTTTCCATCCAAATGATCTGCAAATGAGGCCTTGTTAGGACTTCAGATTCTGAATTTTAAAGCTGTTCTTCCATTTATTATTTAACACCAATTAACACAACATTCCCAGTGTGTGGTTGCACAAGAAAATCCACTCTGTATTTGTGCAAAAAGTCAAAATCAAACATATACAAAAGGTTAACTCATTAGTTGGCAGCACCCAAACTCTGTTGTTTGGTCTCAAAAAACTAAGTACCATCTGGGGTACTTAAACTGGGGTATCTAAAGTAACATCCCAGAAGGAAGCAGTGCAAAGAAAATTGCCCAGAAAATTACATGGTTGTATTCATGTAGTTACTAGGAATCAATCAACTCATAAAAATTATGCAATATATATTGTTTTGAGATTATCAGTATCTTATTTGTATGACGATCAAATTCCTACTTACGTAATCTTTCTGTGATTTCTTCATCTGACATCTTGTTTTTCTTTTTCTGTTTATCAGCAAATTTAGCACTGTCACTTGCATCGCCAGATGGTGCTGGGATAGGCTCTATTACTGATCGTGTATAAACCTTAACAAACAAGATCATGGTTGTAATCCCATAGTATTTTAACATCTTTTTTTTTTCCAAGTTCAACTACCATATAGCCATCATTGTATAGCTTTGTAACTATTTGTATTTGCTGATTAACACTAAAGTTTGATCTATAATTATTATAAAAATTGGAGCCTTCATTTTCCCCCCAAGAAAGTGTCATGTAATTAATCCAGATTTTAGTCTCTGAATGTGTTCCATGATTCTATATGAAAGATAAAACTAGGGCAACCATTAAACTAGGAAGTTGACAAGCATCCCAGAAGACCAAATCATTTCTATACTGTTGGCAAGAAAGCTGCATGGATTTCTCCACACAGTGACCATGAGTTCAGCTTGATTCTAATATGACTTTGCCTTTTATGAGAATAAAGAAAGATTGCTCTGCATTATCTGGTGCACTGTAACACTACTACAGGTAGTCCTCGACTTACAATCACAACTGGGACTGAAATTTTGGTCGCTCAGCAAGGAGGTCGTTAAATTAGTCATCACATGACTGGACCTGGTTTTACAATCATTTTTACATCTGTCATTAAGTAAATCTCGTGGTTGTTAAGAAAATTCAGCTTCCCTAATTGACTTTGTCTTTCGAGAACTGGCTGGGTAGATCACAAATCACAATCACATGACTACAAGACACTGCAACCATTGTAAATGTGAGACAATTGTCAAATGCCTGAATTACAACCATGTTACGACGAGGGTAATACAATGGTCATAACTTCAAGGGTGGATCAACAATCACTTTTCTTAAAGCCACTGTAAGTTTGGACTGTCATTAAAGAAATTGTTGTAAGTTGAGGAGTTCCTGTCTTTTGCATATTTTGATCTATAAACTATCATCCTCTGTAAATATGGTGGCAATTATTCAAGTTATGTTTTGCCCTTAACAGCCAAATACACTAACAAAGTAAAATCAAATCACTTTTCTGATAACTAATTCAGATGGGGAGTGCTGACCAATACAGAAGAAAATTAAGTTGCTAAGAGACAAAGAGAGATAAGAACTTTTTGGAAGTTTAAAAAATACTGGTTTTAAAACAGAAACAGACCTATTAAGATGGCAACTACATGCAAGAAGTAGGCCTCATTAATCAATACTAATTATGAACCCTTCTCTGAAAGTACTAAACAGTTTTATTTTACTGTAAATCACAGTGAACAATAACATTACAAAAGGAGTCTGGCTAAAAGCAACAGATTTAAGTAACCAAGATCATTTGGTTAGAGAGAGATTTGAACAATACTTCCTCAAATTGTAGAAAAAACTGCAAAAAAACTCTGCTATGCATTAAGTAATGAAAATGAAATAAAACTTCTCACCGATTTTGTATGATCTGGTCTTGGAGCAATAACTGGAGGAATAACTTCCTCTTCCTCTTCCGTTGCTGTTGAAGGCTCTGACCTTTTTGCATTAGGCTATAAATTAGAGATTAAAAAAAAACAAATGTGAAAAATAAGTGAACAGAACTATAAACAATTTATTTATTTATGAGGCCTATTTAAATATTTGTTCATTATAAAAAGTATATGTAGTTGAAAATACTGCATGTAGTCCTCAACTTATATCCACAATTTTGGTTGCTAAGCAAAGTGGCTGTTAATGAATCGTGTCCAAATTTATGGCTTTTTTGCCACCATTGTTAAGCAAATCACAGCAGTTGTTAAACCAATCATGAGCTCATTAAGTGAATCTCAGTTCCCCCATTAACTTTCTCAGAAGCTGGCTGGGAAGGTCATAAATGGTGATCACTTGGTCTCAGAACTGTGCAACTGTCATAAATATGTACAGTTTGCCAAGTGCCTGAATTCTGATCCCATGACCCATGATTATGTCATGGTCATAAGTGTAAGGATTGGTCATAAGTCAGATTTTTCTGTGCTGCTATAACTCTGAACAGTTTATAAATGAATAGTTGTAAGTCAAGGACTACCTTTATATTAGAGTGCAATATACCATTTATTATTCCCATATGAAATGTGGGCACAATATTATTGTTGCACTTCATGCCTGGGTAGAGAGAACACAGAATTCAAGATACATTTATCTAAGTTATGCAATCTATATGCCAAAAACCAATATGCATAATTTATCCAATAAGGACTTGTGAACAAAGGGGCATATGTAAGATGCCACAGAATTTGAACTCCGAAACATCAGTGGCAACTGAAATCTGAAAGAGGAAATTAGGGTACGTGGATTTAAATCATCATGCTGGGCTTTTATTTTTGCAGAAGCTAAAAGCTGATATTGCCACCTATCAAGAAACCATCTAACCTTCCCTTTCCCCAAGTTATCTCTCTCCCTTTCCACTGAGCTTTTGTATGAGGCAACAAGGCAAAACACTGTTCGTACCCTCTACAAAAGATTAATTTATAAAAGAGATCCCACTTTTCTTTTGCTTTTGTTGAATTAATTTGTGAAATTTTAACATATAAAAATAGTTTCTCATCAAATGATCTTGAAAACACTACTGATGAATTGAACCTCTAAAATGAATGAAATTATCTCTGATAACTAAGTAGGATGAAACACAAAATATCTGAAGCCCATTAAAATTACTGTAGAGCAGGCTTTCAATTACATAAAAGGAAACATAATGGAAATGTACTTACTGCTATTGCTCCCGAAAGAAAGCCATCCTTATCTAGAAAAAAATTAATGTGAACAAAAAAATTGAAGTATTAATGCAGAAATGATAACACTCATAAAATGTAGTGAGATGATACACACCTTGTTCCAAAGAGAGTTCTGAACTAATTGAAATAAGGAGCCAAGTCTAGCTTTTAGTTCTATTCCAGTACAATGTGCTTGCAGTAAAAAAAAAGCCCTACTTGATCCAACTATTTTTAAAGAAGCAAAACATCTGAAATATGAGGAATGAAACTCATATTCTCTCTCCTACACTTTTAGAACAATGTATCTAGCAAACTGTTGCCTGAAGAAATCAAACACAAATTCATATTGTTTCCATTTCATGATACTATCGCCTTTAGTCTCCAGGGAAATTAAAAGTATTTCATATTTTATGCACAATTAAAAAGTAAATCTTAGCTGTACTTCAAGTTTATATTTAATGAAGTGCATTTTGGGCTGCCCTTCCTTTGTTAATTGAAAGGACAAAGTTGATCTGCAAACCATGTGCTGTTTCTAAATGTTAGAACTGAGTATGTTTAGCCTACAGAATAAAGGGCTGAACAGAGGTATGTTATCAGTCTTCAAATAACTGAGGAGCTATTACACAAAAAAGGAAGTAAGCTATTCTCCGTTGCCCTAGAATCAGAATCAGACCAGAATTAATCGATTAAAACTCCAAGAAAGAAGATTCAAGTTAGATCTTTACAGACATTTCTTGACCATACAAGTTGCAGCATCAAGTAATGCGTTCTCCTTCACTAGAGATATTCAAAGCCTGGATAGTCAGTGAACTATCTAGTGGAATGTACACTGATCAGGACTCTGGTCTAAATGATGTCTAAGGTCCATTACAATGCTAAGAGTCTATGACAAATCATAGAGTTAAAATCACCCTTAAATCATGCATGGAGCTAGTAACTTTAGTCTTTAGATGGGCAGAGATCCCTACTTTAAATAAAAACAAACTCACATCAGCAATTGGTCTCTTCTTTCTCAAATGCCCTTCCAATTCTTTAAATGGGTAATAATTCATATGCCAATTGCTAAAATCATCTCTCCAAACCAGCTGCACAGTTCTGGCAAAAGATACAGCTAAATTAAAAAATTGCAGACATATGCTACGTTCATTTTCTGAAACACTCACTCCCTAATTATTTCCAAAATGTTAGAAAGCTCTGTTACACATAGATTTGCTCATTTATACCTCAGTTCTTTAATAATGAGTTTAAAGTGCCCTGTGAGTTAGCCCAAAGACATACCTGTAGCAGAAAAACTCAAATATTTCTGTTTTGCTGTGTCTTTAGAATCATAGAATTTCAAAACATCTAATACAGCCTGGGGATTTTTTTTCTGTTCTAATTTTGTGATGTTAGACGTCTGTAGCAGCCTAGCCCACTGCTCTGGCATTCCCTGGGGGAGGGAAATACAAATTCATGTATTTTAACACTGAAATACAGAAATTATTCTATCATATCATATATCATCTCAAATGATAAATCTCCTTGGAATAGTTTACTTGCATAAAGGTACCAAATACATGACTAATCTTTAGGGAAGAGGAAGAAGTATTTACTGAAATGTTTTAGTTTTGAGATATACAGTATTTTAGTTCTGAGATATACTCTTGTAAAAAAAAAGGGTAAGAAGTTTTAAGCATTAATTTCATACTTCCCAGGGCACATTGCATAGAGACAAATTTAATATACTTACAGTGAATTCCCCAGTAACTGCATCAAAGCCAACATGAATAGTATGTTCAAAATCTGATGGGGGAGAAATCTCAGGTCTCTCTTTTTCCTTTTTCCTACTCCCTATCAGGAAAAGAAAGCATATTTAGTTTCAGAATGGAGTCACCCTTTCTGAAGTTCAACTGTTTTGAAGTTTTAATAAACCTGCCGGTAACATTTAAAACATTATATACAGAAAATTGTCATAAATGAACTCACTTTTAATTCTAATATCTATGAATCAAAACATTTTGCTTCAAAAATATAAATGAATTATGCTTGTAGGACCTTAATTTTTTCTATATTTTATTAAGAAATGCAAAAAACAAAGCTTGCATTAAAAAAGCAACCAATGTCACCTGAAATCCTGACAGAAGCTATTAGTTTGTTGAGTGAAATTTGAAATTTGAGTGGGGGGGGGGGAGACAGACAGGTGGCAATGGAGAGATTTGGTCATGTAAAGACATAGATAGATAGTTCCAGGTTTAGCAAACCTGGAAAGCAACAGCTCTCTCTTTGTAAAACTTTTGCAAGCATTTACTGAAAGCTGTTTACAAACTGAGTGATGAAAGAAGTTGTTATTAAAGCAATAATGCTCACTGGCTACAAAAGACGTGGTTATGCCCAATAATTAAAGATATTGAAATGTCTGTTAAATCTCAAAAATGGTCAAAATTGAGAAGGGGTGTTTCCGTGGGTGTAACTCTTGATGACCAGGGCAGTGACATGGAGGAAAATGGAACAGAAAACAATATGCCATGTGAGTAATCTTCTGGCCCTTACTGCTCTTAGACAGATATTACCGATATCATACATAAGACCTCCAATATTCCAAATAGTCATTCCTGAGACAGTTAAACTCAGACTAGGGAAAAATCCACAGACAAGAATATACTCATAGAACAATCATGTACATTAAAGAATTCAATCTGTATTAATAAAATGCCTTACCAAGGCAACTTCAACCCCTCTCAGTCACATGACTTGGGAATCCTTATTGGCTAATGAAGCAATTTATATGAGGGCTTCAAGGATTCCTGTTTGCAAAAGATTAGAAAACCTTGGGAGAACATGAGGCTTTTAACAAATTTGCCATGAAGCTCATCTGATTTAACACTGCTGAAAGAAATTCTATCTATTTCAAATGATATACTGATGTTTACCAATTAGCCAATTTATTATCTTCATTCTCTACACATTTCTATTGTTTTGTTGACGAAGATTTCATTATATTTATTTTTGTAGATTGTTATTAACATCTAGACTTTCTATATTAAATCGGCAGTCATATACATTTCCTACCTACATGAATACATAAAACATTTTAGGCTCCATCAACAGTGTTTCCAAATCATGGAATTATAGTTCCACTTTATTTTGCACTGATCATATTCTACAAGTATTGCGTCTAGTTAGGCTTAACCCTTGAAGGATTAAGAGATGGGCAAGAATAATGATTAAGGACTAGAAACTAGCCTAGAAAGAACAACTGAAGAAGCTGAACTATTCTAGAGGTTGGGGCCAGTGACAAAAAAGCCATGCTTCCACAGTCCTGTACCAGGAGACAACTGAAGACATATTTATGTACTTCTAAACTACAAATTCCTTGATCATTGCCACTCTAAGAAAATCTAAAAAACAAAAGCAGGACCTATGTAGCCACTGATATTGTTAGGCTGCTAAAATAGATGCACAGAATTGCTCATTTCTGTACAACAGAAAAAAGTATTATTTTTCTAATATAATCCAATATTCCCTTCAGATTTTCACTTGGAAAAAAATAAATATCAACTATTTCACTAATATCATATTATAGGTAATCTTCAACTTATTATCAGTTCAAACTTATGACAGACACCCTCTCCTCAAAAGTTACTTACACTTGGTTTTAAAGTTATGTCCCCTTGCAGTTATTCACCCTTATGATAGATTACAGAGAAACTGCAACAGCCCCCCAACCTATTTCTCCGACCAATTCCGCCCTGTCAGATTCACATAGGCCTTGTGCCTGCTTCCCCTCCAGCTATTCAGGCCAGCTGCAGTGCACCCAAATCTATTGCAACTTGCAGGCTTAGAGTTGTTTCCCACCCAGCCATTCACAGGAGCCTCAGGCCTACACTAGGCATCCAGGACCTCCCTACACAAGGAACCTCATGTCCACTTAATAACTACATCAGGAGACCAGAAGTGAGAGTCACTGAGCGAGGTGATCATGTGGGTGCCTTGCTTAATGACCATCACAACTTGCAACTGTAATGGGCAAATGTCACTAGTGTCATAACTCAAGGACTACCTTTTAATGGCAACTTCCCCTTATTTACTTTTTATTATTTGGAAAGGGAAATTCTTTCCTTCATTTTGAGGAGGCGTTAGTTAGCATTATTTATTTAGCGTATGGGATTGTTACGTTAGCCAGGAGACTACAACGTGCTGCTGCTGATTGCTAGTCCCTTTTGTTCACACTCGCACACTATCCAGAATGCAGCACTAGCTCCACACTCATAAGACTTGACAGCGTTCTGCAGGGTCATCCAGGGCTTTTCTCACCACCAGTATCACCTCACATATGGGCAGGTCAGGCATCAGTTTTATTCATACTGCCACACAAAGCATCGTTTTTTCCTACTGAAGTTTATTTACTCGCATGCTTTTGAACTGCCAGGTTGGCAGAAGGCAAGACAAATAAGGGAAGTTCGCTCTGTCCTGCAGTGCTAGGACTCAAACTGCTGGAGTACAGACTGTCTCCATCGTCATTAAGCCACTGAGCTACCACGCCTCACATTAGCTGGCAAATGAATTCTCACTCTCAGTTTATCTGCCATGCTGATTTAAATCTATTTTAAAAGTCATAAAACTGTTTTCCTGTTAAATACTTAAAACTGTGTATTATGAACACATACATTCACTTCCATGAATATTTGTATCACAAGTAATTTTCAAAAGATCCAGAATGCACTGCAGTAATTTGTTGTATTTGTATCAAGTGCAAAAAGGTTCAATGAAATTCAAATGGAATATTATACAATCAAACAATTGCAACATTTTACCTTTTTCAGTGCCAGAGAAAATGGAGATGATTTTGTTCCTAGGCTTTCTCTCTTCTGGTACTGAAGGCAGAGGTTTCAAGCTATGATTAGCAGATAAAGGATCTTTTCCTCCTGAACTGAAGATGGTACTGCTCATCCGAACAGGTGGAGCTGGTGGCTTGTCTTCGAGTTCTCCGTTGTCAGACATAATTAATGGCTAGATGATACTCTGAAATTAAACAGCAAAAACTTTGTCACCAGATTCCTCAGTGCATTAGAAAGTTTATTTTTATCCCATTTTAATTAAAAAAATACTGAACAGACTAGATATTTATTACTATTGAATCATACATCCCAACGACATGATAGATAATTCAGCTTGACAATATACATTTTAACTGTCCACTATTATAAATTGAAAATTGATAATTCCACAAAACAGCAATTACAGTAACAGAAATATTCCATGTAAAAACAAAAGAAACGGTCTTACATTTTCCAGCTAAACAAGCAGAACTAAAGAAAGAGATAGCTAGATGTTTTTAAAATCAGAAATGCAATGACTAATGACTGAAGCATCATAAAAGCTCTCAAAATAAATAAATAAATACTACAGAATATTTACATCGGGAGCAAGTGATTAATTCCAGGAAAGACCTATATTTATATCAACTAAAAGCCTACCTTGCTGAAATCTAATTAAGTAAACTAACATTCCTTGCCTCCCCTATACCCTTGCTTATAACATATCTGGAAAGGAGGCCTTTTAATTTAAAAAAAAGGCCCCTTATCCCTCATCAATATGATCAAAGTCAGTTAATACAGATTTTAAAGTACGTACAGTAAAAAACATTTAAGTTTCAACCTGAAAAGCTGCTCCTTTGTTATTAAGGCTGGTGAGACATTTAAAAAAAATACAAAGTGGTAACAATTCTTTAAGAAGAAAAGGACAACCTTTTACAGTTCAAGTGACTGTTCATCAATTTCAACTTGATACAACATTCGCCTTGTGTTCCCAATATCAGAAAGCTAAGATTGTCATTTCATTAAATTTACACAAAATATAAATTATTATAATAGGTATAGATTGTCCTTGCTTAATGCCCATTTCTTCAGCAACTGTTCAAACTTGTAACATTGAAAACAAGGAATTTATGACCAATCCTCAAAGTTTCAGCAGCTGCAACCCTCCTGCAGTCATATGAATGAAATTCAGGTCCTCTTGGCCCACCCACCTTTAAAATAGCTTCTTGGCTGCTCACTTACATACTGACATCAGGTACCGGAATCAGCCAGCCCTACCCACTGCTACCTGGTGCACAACAGTATCAGCTGGGCCTCTTCACACTTTCTTTCTGTTGGTGCCGAGATTTCTCTTGCATCCCAGATTCTGGGATGAATCCCAGATTCTCTTGCCTCCATTCATACCCTGGCCAAGGTCTCTTTTAAAAAGAAAGACCCAGCTAGGAGGATCCTTCTTCTGTCTGGTGCAGCTAGGGCCTTTTTTCACCTTCTTACTTGGAAAAAGGCAAGACGTGCAAAAGAAGGCCCCATCTGTATGGACATGTAAGTAGGACCCGCTAGAAGGGTGCAGATAGAATCTTCTTTCATGTGCCTGCCTTCCACAAGGATGAAATTTTGACAGGAGGCAGGTATGGACTCAGGAAGAAGGCCTTGCACAATCAGGAGCTGCCTCATGAAGGCCAGGCATGCCACAAATCAATGTCTTAAGTCCACACTAAGCAATATCTCAGAGTTTTTCTGGGGAAGGTGGCATTTTTCAGATTTAAGACTATACTCAGCCTTATTATGCCAATGCCATAACTACATAATTCCCCTCTTATTATTAAATTATGCTGTAATCTATGATAATCTTAAACTAAGCACAGTGCTTCTCTGAGTCAGCTGTAACTGTGTCTCCTTGTACCAGTTACAACTCTGTTGTAAGGACAACAAAGCTTTCAGCCTCCAGTGCATTTCCATTAGGAAATTCCAACGAAAGTTAGCACTCCAGAGGAGGAGAATCCAGGAGTCCAGGTAATGTTTTTTGTTTCCAGACTCCAGTCAAAATTTTAAATTTTACAGAAAGACTAGTAACCATTTATTACTGTAGCTTCAAATTTACATGATACCGTACTAAACACAGAATTAGGGAATAAGTACACAAATCAATTTGGGATAGGGGAGCTTGCTTGGTTTGAGGAGAATAATTCAAGATGAGAACACCCCACCCCCACTTGTTCTACCCCATTTGTTTGAATCATGACTTGTAGAAATTCTCTTGCTCCCCCCACAGCTTTTTTCCTTCTGTTGGTTTCTCTGGCCAAGTCTCCCCACATACTAACACAAAGTTAGAAAACCAGTGGGATTTATCTGCAGTGGGATTTTTATAAGGTATATTTTATAGATTTTTTTTAAAAAATAAAACATTTTAAATAAAAAATCAACATACTATCAAAATGAGATCATTTTTATTCTTCATGAAGAAAAGCTGACCCATCTGAATTGGTCCTTTCAAAGCCCAATAAGCAATATGGTTTCCGACTATAAATAACACATTCAGCTAACATTGGGCGTATCAATTTTAGTGTAAAAATAGTTTATCTTCAAACAGCTCAACACAAAACATACAATTTATACAAATTTATGAAAATGTTAAAGGCAAAGATGTTCTAATCAAATCTAGCTTGAAGTAAGGAAACATGTTGCATATTAAATGTGAGTCAAATATGGTGACATAATATGTGGTTACTGTAATCCAATCTAAATATAATCAAAATTTATATAAAACATATCTAAAATGAAATTTAATATATTTTCTATTACCGTATCTTATAAGTTCACCTTCAGGAAAGCCATGGCTCTTCCTTCAAGCATTAGGACTAGCAAAACAGTGCAGCCTGGTATATGTGTTTGGTATTGTAAGTTCTTTATGGAAACCTTAGTTGTAGCATTTTGTTATTGTTAACTGTGTCCTGTATTTTCTTATACTGATTTTTAATTAAAGTACATTTTAAAAAGTACTGTATGACAGTTATCCAGAGTTACTTAAGATAAACAACAAAATTAATTTTCTAAATAAATAAATGGACACCTTGGAGTGGTTGGGATATGAATAAACTTAATTAGCCAATATACTATAAAGGTTTTTCTTCTGATTTAGCAGAGGAAACTGTAAAATTGCACAAACTACTATCCTTATATCAGATAGTAATGAAAAGAAAAGAAAAGCCACAATTTCCTAAATCATTTCTTTACCATAGCTAACATAGGAATAATCATGTAAGTCTCCTAGGATCACCTTATTGGTGAGATGGGTGGCATATAAATTAAATAAATATACCAGCTCTTTACATTTCTGTATTTCAAAATATTTCTGACCTAAAAAATTAGTGAAGGAAATGCTATCTACACAGCCGTCAGGTTCTGGTGAAAAAGCAGGACAGAAATGTAAGGAATAAATACTTATTTCAAAATATCATAAGATGTACTCTTACATCTTCCTTACATCTCTGTACTTTAGAGCCAAAGTGCTTCAGGGAGATATAGACACATATAAAAACCCTGTGAATACCTCCTTAAAGCAAATATATTTTTTCTAGTTTCTCATGGAAGGCTAGAGTTCCAAGGAAAAGGAGTACACTAGATCAGACAAGGTGCTTTAGAATCAATCTTTGTTGGTATTTCCTGAATTCAAGTGAGTATTTCCTGAGATCATACAACTACCATGTAATCTAGGAAAAGGCAGAGCTTACTAATGCAGACATCAAACTATATGGCATGTTCACCCACCCTCACATCAAGAAACCTGGAGAAATGCATTCTAGTTCCACCTTAGGCATGAAAGCCAGTTTGATGACCATGGGCCACAAGCAAACCCTTTTTCATCTTTGGATCTAATGTACTGGACATACCTAATCCACAACCACTCATTTTAAGAAAAGTTTAAAATAAGTTCATTTCTTATTTTAAGTGTATTTAAGTTTATAGGTTTCAATGTAGTAAACCGGAAAAACTGTTTCAGAGTCCTTCTATAACACCGTAAATTCTTTACTAATATTCACAAGAAGAAAATAAATGATCCAATGATTAATTAACTTAGTTTTCCTACTGAATATTGTTCAGCAATATTGCGTGGATTGGGTCTTTTATTTTGATAAAATTACAGTTAAATCTAAAACCAAGCATTTTCTTGCTCATGTTTGAAAAGACAATATTTTTAGAAGACCAAAGATAAATATGAGCTAGTTAAAATGGCTCCAGACAGTAGATAATTAGTACTTAACCTAGGTACACTATCATAAAGCTGATGGCTTGTTATACAAGTGTTTTAAACAAAGGGAAACATTGCCTCCACATAGCAAAAAAACAACCCAGCAGAGCAATGGAAAAGGATAGTAATTCCACACCCTCACACATACATTGTTACTGCCAAAAAATCAAGAACATTCTCCAGGAAGAATGCCAAGGTAAAGCTTTCAAACATGAGTGAGGCAAGGAACTTCAGATATATAAAGGAAGCTGTTTTTTCTCAGTGGCTCGGAAAAAAACCAACTGTTCACTTAGCAAAGTACCACCACAACAGAATTTCACTTTGCAAAGGTTTCTAATATTATTCACAAAATCTACATTACCTTAAGTATTTGGATCAAAGAAAATGATGTAAATAATCCAGCTGAAATTAAATCCTAATGTTTTTCCCCATGGATCAAACTTTGCTCATTATGCTCCATTTGTAATTAAAGATTACAGAATTATGCCAGGTTCTACAGTAATTGTTAAAGCAGTATATCAACCTTTTCTTCCTGGCATTTGAAACTTCAGTAAATGCTCCTCTGCTGACTCAGAGCTATGGAAGAGTACTATAAGCAAATCACTAAATCTGCTCTGGATCTTTCCCTTCTAGAAACAGGTCAGAAATGAGAGGCAAAAAATTATTTTAGGTGAAGCAATTACCTCCAATACCTCTATTTAGAGTTCCAAGGCTATTTGGGAAATTTAAATACTGCAAAAAATTATGGCTTGGCTTCTAACAGAACTGGTTGTTAGTAATTACAACGTGGACTTTCTATCATCATCCAGATGCAATTTAGAACTTTAAAAAGTAGTTACTGCAAGGATGAAAACTCATGGCTCTCCACACATTGCTGAACTACAAATCACTGATGGAGGTTTCTGGGGTACAATTTAACTGATCTGACTGGTTTTGTCCTCTGTTCCAAACAGATT